GGTGCTTCACCCCCAGCCTCCAGAGCTTTGTCATCCAGGCTGCCCAGCTCCCCACAGCTCTGGAAACTTGACAGTGGGGGCAGCCCTAATTGCTGCTCCCCTGCTGCCACGTTTTGGGGCCCAGAGAGCGCTGGGGCCTGGATGCTAGACGGGGCGCAGTGAGGCCAAGCCAGGCACCCAGTGTAGATGGCACAGGGCATGATTTCTTTCCCACCCACCCCCAATGACGTGGAGAAGAAGAGCCCTGCTGACTTCATTTTTCCTTGAATAAATGCAGGTGTGTGCCCACCTTGAACCAGCGCCAGGTGTACGTGTGTGTGCGTGCATGCATGTGCATGCTCTGGACACTTGTCCAGCCCAGTGGAGAAGAGAAGAGCAAAGTGCATAACCTCCCAAGTGCTTTAAAATGTTGTTACCAGGACTAGGACAGGCGTGTGGGGATGCCAGCAGCACCCTCCAGGGTACAGAGCTTTCCCAGGCTCATGCCATGCATGCGCTGTCACCCATGCCGTGGGAACTGGCCACGTACCATTACTAGCACAGCCTGATACAGCGCCATAAATCCCCATGCAGCTCTGCCTGTGACACCTTTGCCTGGCTGTAGGGGAAGTGTTTTATCTGGCTGGCCACAAGTGTGTTAAATGGATAAGCCAACACGCCCTTGGAGCTTTTACCACCTTTGCAAAACCCTATCTGTTGTATATAGGGGCATCTAGGCTCCTGGATGTTGCATGCTGCCCTGATTAGACTGGTGATGGTATCCCAGTCTGCCCTGAATCTTCCCTGACCTAATGGGTGGCGTCAACACATGGCCTGTGTTGTGCCCACAGCTCCCCTTGCAAATCACATACATGATGCAAGTGAAAGGGGGGCTGGCACCTTGCTGGGCTGTGGAGAAGTCTGCAGAGCACCTGGGAGCCTGCACCTAGTCCCGGTGGCACAAGCGACGTTCTGGTTTCTGTTCCCAGTTCACTCGTGCCCCACACCAGTGCCCTGTCCCCAGGCCTTTATTGGAAATTAGTTGCAAGGGCGACAAAGTAGAGGGTAGAGTCTAGTAGGGGGCACAGAGCAGTGGGTGTTGCGGAGGAGTGGCTAATCCAGGGCCTTGCTGACTGCTCGGGGCAACTCTGACCTGGGCCAGCCCTGGGTCTGTTTAACACAGACGGTGCCCCAAGCATCGCACCTTTAACCGGCAATGGAGGGAGCCACAGCCTGCACCAACAGCAGGACGTTTCTGTGCCCCTTGCTTTGCCGCCTGGTCCCCTGCAGACCCAGGCCTGTGACCGGTATCTGGCTAATGCGTAGCCCCCTCGGAGATGAGCGTGTCCCCGAGCACGGCAGCCCCAGCCCCGGGCAGCGTTGCGTGTGGGATTTGGTGCCCGGCTGTGCTGGGAGCCAGGCACGTGCTTCAGTCTCGCTCGGGCCCAGGCTGGGGGCCGGAGGGGGTCCCAGGCCTCTGCTCTAGGCTGCCGAGGGGTCAGGGCTGGAGCTGTCGTCGGGGACAAGCTCCACCCGGATCTCGGGGGGCTCCAGGAGGTTGGGTCCCCGGGCGCGGGGGGCAGGGGACACGTTGGTCTGGCTGCCCTCGTCCTCCGTCTCCTCCTCGTCGATGCGGGCCACAGCTTCGGGGTCGACTCCACGGGCGGTGTGGGGGGACGGGGAGCTGTCGCCCCAGCGGCGCAGCAGGTGCGGGTGCCCGCGCACCGTCTTGCCGAAGTTCTTGAGGCTGATGGCAGGCGAGGGCGCGGCGCCCAGGAAGCGGCTGAGCAGCGGCGTGTGCGCGCGGGGCAGCGCAGGCGAGGCCTCCACTTGCTGGCTCTGCTCCGGGTCCTCGCTCATCCTGCGGGGCCGCAGGGGTCACGCTGCAGCCAGCCTGGCCTCGGCACCCCGTGCACCAGCCTGGAGCTGGGGTGCAGCCAGGCCGTGCCCTGCTGCCAGCCTGGGACAGGCCAGTGCAAGCCCGCCCAGCTCCCGGGGCTACAATCAGGGCAGCTTTCTCGCCCCATCCCCGACGCGTGGATGAAGCAGCTACGGGGTGGCTGCTACCCCATAGGCGCACCCAGCCCCGGCCCCCTCACCGCATGTCGAAGGTGGAGCCCAGGAAGGAGGGCTTCAGGGTCTCGGCGGCCGTGGCGATGGTGTAGGGGGGCAGCGCCGTGGACTCGTCCCAGTACTTGTCCTTGGCCATGGGGGGCAGGTTCTGGTACATGTCGTCCACGGAGAGCAGAGACACCTGGGCAGGGCAGGGGGCTCGCATGAAGGGACAAACCCCTGAGGGGGGGCATCACCCAGAGATGCCCCAAATCAATAGCCCCAGCTGTGAGGGTTAGGGTTTGGCCCTGTGGCATCAAGGTGAAAGGCCCCAGCTCCCAGGGAAGCCACGGTGCAGCCCGGACACCCGGGTCCCAGGCACAGGGCCCAGGGGGGAGGCCGGGGGGTCCCACCTGGAGGTTCCTATCGATGAGCTTGTTGGTCTCAAAGTCGTCGTCGTCCTCCCCGAAGGGGTTGATGAGCTGCTCAGCTACCTGGGGAGGTCGCAGTGCCCGCTGTGAGCCGGCTGGGAGCACCGTGGTCCGGAGCTCGGGCACGTGGTTTGTCTGGTTTGGCCAGGCCTGATCCTGCCTCCGGCAGGGCTTGCACTCGATGTGACCCCACAGCTCCCTGCCAGCCTCAGGGACTCTATGATTCTTCCCTCAACGGCTTGGCCTGGCCCCGTGGGGGACCCGCAGCCTAACCCAGCAGCGCTGGCTGAACATGGACTGCTGCGGCCGTGCCAGGGTTGCAGCTCATCTCCGCTACGCCACCCTGGCTCCCTCCAACCTGGGCACCAGCAGGTGTCTGGAGGCCCCGGGGCCCCTCCGTCCTGGCTGCAGGGACTGGAGCAGCTGCCAACCCCTGCCGAAGCCAGCTGTGCCCAGCTGTGCCGGCAGCGCTCACCTTCAGCCAGCCGGCGTAGAAGAAGAACTGCAGCAGCGTGGACAGGGGCACATACATGTCCAGGGTGGATGTGGCGCCTGGCTCCAGTGGCTCCAGGAACTGCCGCCCAATGAGGCAGAAGGCGAAGAAAGAGTAGACGGCGATGGTGACCACCTGGGCGAGCCGGACAGAGGACATTGGAGGGGTCCGGCAGGTGCCCAGACCCCTCCCCAGGCTCATTCCCCCTGCGGAGCTCCTGTGGAGCAGGATTGTGCCCGTGCTTCAGCCATGCCGGGGAGAGCTTGGGCTGGGCATTGCTGCCTGGACACTTGGGTCCATGCCGAGGGCCGGACGGGCCTGACCTGGGTGTACACCAGGGGGATGCTGATCCAGTCGTAGTGGAAGAGGAGGCTGCACTTGGCCCGGTACAGGTTCAGCTCCTGGCAGAGGGCAAGAGCAAGCAGCACTCGTGAGCGGCTGCAGCTGGGGGCAGGGGTCCAGAGCCCCCCGTGCCCCTGACTCACATCCAGGAGCAGGCGCAGGGCAATGTCGTCCCGCACGCGCCCGTCACGCCGGGCCTGGGCTGCCAGGTTGGTGAACCACACACAGGGCACCCAGTACTTGTTGAAGTCCGAGTGGAGGCTCTCGAACTTCTTGCGCTCGTCCTGCGACATGAAGCCTGCGGGGGTCGGAGCCCAGGGTTTGCACCACCCCCGGCTCTGGCCCCCTCGCCGCTGACCCTGCCAGGCCCCCGGCCCCGCTCCTCAGTGCCCCTTGACCGGGGGCTCAGCTAGCCAGGGACCACAGGGCACAAGCACAGTGCTGGGTTTGCACACGCCTTGGAGCGGTGGGGCATGGAGGTGGCACAGAAGGGGCCCCTGGGCATGGAGACTCCCCTCCGGAGCAGGACACGGAGCCGTGACCAGGCCCCAGCCCCCCGCATGCAGCCGCCCGCACCTGCATCCACGACGTGGTCCATGGTGGGGAAGCGCTTGAGCACGCGGGTGCTGACGGAGCGCAGGATGAGCACGGCGGACAGGTTGGCGTAGCGCACCAGCGTGCGGCGCAGCAGCCGGCCCCGCTCGTCCCGCCCGTGCACGGTGCTGGAGATGACGCACATGAGCTGGTCGGGCAGCGGGATGCTGCTGTACTGTGCCCACCACCGGTTCACGATCAGCGTCACGTAGAAGCCTGCCCGGGGCCGGCGCCGTCAGCCCCGGGGCAGCTGGTGCCCGGCAGGGGGCTAGGGAAGGACCCCTGCTCCAGGGAGGGGACTCGTGGGACAGCAGGGCTGAGGCCACTGCTGCTGGCTGGGGTGGGCAAGCCCCCACTGGCCACACACTGTGTCCTAGTGTAGACAGGCCTCCGGCGCCGCGGCCTGCTCACAAGCTCCCCCACAGACAAGGCACCGGGGGCTGGGTCTGCCTGTGCGCCCCCATGCCCGCCGGTGCTTGGATGGCCTGAAATAGCTTTGTAAATGGCCCCCACTGCCATCAGTCCCATGGGGCATGTGCCAGCCCCCCGGGTCTGCCCAGTTCCAGCAGCCGCTGGGTGCCGCTTGGGGCAGGGGGTCCTTTGTGCACCGGGAGCCTGGTCGCGGCACCGGCCTGGCGGGGCCCTGTCCCGGGTGCTGGGAAAGGGCAGGGAAGTTCCTCTTTCCCCGGGCAGGGCAAGGTGGGGGGGCCATTCGACACCTGGCAGAGATAAGGCGGCCAGGTTCCCAGAGCTGGGGGAGGGCAGGGGCAGAGCACCGGGGGTGCTGCCTGGTTTCCTGCCCCTTCTCCATGTGCCCCCAGGCCGCTCCCTGCCTGGGCCGGGCCCCTCTGCTCCCCAGGGCACCCCCCAGCTACCCCCCTGCTCACAGCCCCATGGCCTCCATCCCCCACGGGGGCCAGTGCACAGCACCGCACACACACACACATACATGTGTTCACATGCACGCGCACACACACAAACATACACAAACACACTCACATAGACACACACAAGCACACATGCACGTTCCCACACGTGCATACATGCACACGCAGACACACATACACACACACATGTACACGCTCACGGACACACCCACACATGAACATGCAGAGACACACTCACACCCACAAGCACACAGACACATGTTCACACACACACACAAGCACCGACAGGTGCCCGCACAGATACGTGCACCGCAGCATGCAGAGAGACACATGCACAGACAGATTCACACACATACATGCACACAGACATGCACAGACACAAACACACACAAATACAAACATGCAGAGACACGCTCATGCATGCGCGCACAGACAGATGCACACACATGCACGCACATGTTCACGCATGCATACAAGCATACAGACACATGCGCGCGCACACATGCACAGGCACTCGTGTGCACATGCACACACAAGCAGCTGTCCTGGGAGGCAGCTGCCTCTGGGGTGGAGCGCTGGCAGGGGCTGAGGTGATCGAGGGGAGGCAGCAGGTTGGGGGGACTCGCAGTGGGGTGCAGGACTCCTGGGCTCTCCGGCTGGGTGCCCCCAAGGGAGGAGGAGCCTGTGCCGGGGCCCGGGGGCGGCAGGGGCCTTACCTAGCACGAAGGAGAGGGGGATGAGGTCCGTGGAGCGGTCGCAGTACTGGGCCACCTTGGTGAACAAGTGCTTCTGCTCCTCACTCAGCAGCCGCCTGCCGGGATCCCGGGGAGCCGGATCAGGCCCTCGCCCGGGCGGCTGGGCTGGCACAGCTCCCTCGTGCCCCCCACCCAGGAGCAGGGCCTGCCCTCCCTCCCAGGGGCCCTGGCCAGCTCTCTGCCTCTCCAAGGGCTGCTCCACGACCGGGCTGGCTGCAAGCGTGCGAGACATGCGAGGCAGACACGTGTGCAAGGAGCCGGCATGCGACTGCAGGCATCTTAGGTAACAACCCGCTGCTGCTGGCGGGGATGGGGAGGCAGCCGCTGCCCCTGCAGCCGGGGGTCTCGGGCTCACCGGTAGACAAGGCTGAGCATGGTGTAGAGCAGGGCGAAGACCAGCAGCTCCTTGTACAGCAGCTTGTAGATGCTGCCCTTCCAGCGGAACAGCAGCTTGGAGAAGCCCCCGAAGCGGGCGTCCGCCACCTCCAGCGTGTACGACACCGTCATGGCTGCACCTGCGCACGTGGGCAGGCACACGCCGAGGCTCACACCCGCACGCCTGCAGCGCCTCGGGCGTGCACGCTCCCTGCCTCCGTGTCACCCGTCCCGGGGTCACGCTCGGCCTGGGCGCCAGCGGATGCCCCATCCAGACCCCCGTGCCCAGGCGGCTCCATCCCCAGCAGGCCGCGGCCCCAGGGACCCCCGGGAGCCGGGTCCCTCGGCCCCTGCATGCCTGCACGGGAGAGGCTCCTACCTGCCCCGTGCCACCGGCCTGGCCCCTTCTGCCGCACCGGTGTCTGGGCTCCTTCCCTTAAGTACCCGGCGCGGGGCCCATAAACCTGAGCCGCGGGTGATGGATGGGGGCTGTCAGTGCCGGGAACAGGGAACTCAGCCCGGTCACGCCCGCCTGCTCTTCTGGGCACCCCGGGCTGGCCCGGGTGTCCCTGCCTGCTCCGCGGGCCCTCCGGGCACTGCCCATTGCCCCTGGTCTGGAGCAGGACTCACCCCCTTCGCACCCAGCGTGGGAGAGAGCCACCCCCCGGTGCATTCTGGGATTGCCTGCCAGCCTCCCCCCACCAGTGGCTTCGGAAGCAATGCCTTGTGGGATGGCACTGGGAGGACCAGGTGGGTTGGGGCAACTCTGGAGCCTAATGATGACCCTGCTGATTTGGCAGAAATGCGGGGGGGGAGGCGCTGGTCCCCTTTGCAGAGCGGCTTCCCCCCTCTCCTCCGAGCCCAGGTTCCTCCCGGCCCCCCAGAGCCGCAGGGCCGGTGCAGGGCCCGCGTCTCTCCCCCAGCCGTGCCCCTTGGTCCCGTCCAGGGCGGCTTTGATTTACAGCCCGTGCCGCTCCCAACCTGCCAGGGCAATCGACGCCCAGCTCTTATCTGCGCCCCAGCCTGGGCCGTAAATCACTCCCGTCCCATCCCGCGCCGTGGGGGGCGGCTGGGCTGTTGGAGGGCAGGCGGGATGCCCCGAGCCAGGACGCCTGGGTTCCCCCCTGCCCCCAGGCCGGCCTCCCCCCGCAGGCAGAGGGGCCCCCGCGATGCCTGCACGCGGCACCAGGGTGGGCAGGGACACGCTTTATTTGTTGTGGTGCCCGGCACGGCACAATGCCCACCTGCTTCTTGCACACACGCCCCCCCTGCTTCTCTCTCTCTCACACACACAAACACACACACAAACACACAGAGCCTGCTACGCACACAGCACACCCCCAGCCTGCTTTGTACATGCACAGACACGCGCACACAGCCTTTTCTCTCTCTCCCTCACACACATGTGCACAACCAGCCTGCTACTCACACGTGGCACGACCCTAGCTTGCTTCTTATGCACACATGCCGCTGCTTCTCTCTGTCTCTCGCACACACACACATGCACCTTGGGCCTGTTTCCACACTCCCAGCCTGCTTCATGCACAAACACACACGTGCACACCCCTAATTCTCTCTCTCACAAATGCACACACACACACACACGCACCACAACACCCCCCCAGCCAGCTTGCTTCACACACACACATGCACAACCTGCTTCTCACATCCCCCCCAGTGCCCCCCACCTTCACACCACCGAGACGCACTGGGACGCCCAGTCCTGCCCCATGTCACGGCCCAGCCCGTGGAGCCAATGCGGCGCGGCGCAGCACGGCGCGGCACTGCCCTGGGATGGGTGCTGCATTCGTGCCACTCTTCCAGGCCGGCCCCGGGCACACGGGCTGTTGCCACCCCTGTCCCAGACCCTCTGCCCGTGGAGCCCGGGGCTCTGTCTGCTCCAGATCGGGGGTAACTGGCTTCTGTGTGTCCAACCAGTGCACCTGGGGACCCCCGAGCCCCCGCCTGCTTCACGCCAGCTGGGCCCAGGGCATTAGCGGCTCCCGCCGGCAGGTCGGGCAGGGTCCCGCTCCAAGAGCTGCCGTGTCCGGGGCGCAATCTCTCCCCCCGAATCCAGCGCAGGTCGACCGAGCCCTTGAGCAGCAAGAAGCCTCCCCCGCGGCTCCCCCCAGCCTTGCCCAGAGCTGCCGGGCCACGCTGGGGGCAGGCAGGCCGCGACACGGCTCAGCCCAGCTCCACGCTCTCGTACGAGTCGTCCGGCTCCAGGCCGGGCACCAGGCTGTAGTACTCGGCCGCCTGGCTCCGGTACAGCTTCTCGCGGGCGGCCGAGTCCCGCAGCACCTCGCTCATGCTCAGCCTCTCCGCCTCGGGGCCACCGGCCGGCTCCTCGCCCGCGGGCTCCGTCCCCAGGCCGCCCGCGCGGCCTG